GAACACGATCTGGGTAGCCCGCTCAACCCGTCGGCGATAGCTTTCTGGACTGGCCTCAAACATGAAGTTGAGATTGCGCCGAAGATCGTCGAAGGTCTGCTGGTCAAGCCGCGCCAGGTCAAGGCTCACACCCGCCACACGCTCCAAGCCACATCAAGGCTGAACAACGTGGCCGTCCAGTAGCTGGCAAGCCTGGCTCGGTTCTCATCGCTGCTCACGAAGTGCCAGCTGTCTTTGAACTCGAGATCATCGGCATAACCTGTCGCCGGGAGCCAAGCAAACCGGGGGTTCTGCGTCCCATCTGGCATGCGGGTCTACTGCTTGTATTCCCCGCCAAGCTTCCTGAGGAACTCATCGAAGATGGGGTGAATGCCATCATCGGCGGACCAGGGCGCGGTCGTGAGACCGGCTGTCTGCAAACCCAGCTCTCGGCTCTGGTCGATCAGCCAAGTTAAATGGCACAAGGAATCCGACATTAAGCGGGCAAATGACCGTTGGGGCCGTCGACTGACCAATTCGGATTTGGAGCTATCCCTGTCTCACCCACCAACTCATTTCCGAACCAAGCCACATGAAGTTGGATCCTTGCCTCATCGCCATATTTGGCTCTGGCTTCCTTGGCAAATTCAATTCCCCTTTTCACCAAGTGGCGAAGCCCCTTCCCCCACATCCATCTCGTTAAGCCACTCAGTGACGTAGTCAGTGTTTCGCTCCTTGAAGTGCTCTGCCAAATCATACTTGCGCAGCGTATTGCGGCGTCCAGTGATGAGAGCACAACATGAGCCACTGACGAGGATCCGAATGATGGCGGGGCACGGCATCGCCGCCGGCGGGTTGACATCCTCAAGTGCAGCTTCTTCAGGCAAGATGCAGAACTTCAGAGCTTCAGCCAGAGGGTCATCCTTGCAGAAGAACCGGATCTGGCGTCCATTCATTCAGCAAACCCTCCACAAAGTCACATGTGTTCTGGCCTTCGCCCTGGTGTCGGATCACCATTGCAAACAGCAACTTGCTATGGGTGTCTGCCCACCACTCTTTGTTCCTCTTTCGGGTTGCCTCCAGCGTAGCCTCACGGCTAGCTGGGTCGGCTGCGGGTCGCGAGTCGGCCATTTTGACACAACAGGCAAGTTTGGCGTTCCTTTTGGATGCTTGGCCCACCGCAGCTACTCGAAAACATTCATGAAGCATGTCAGTCAACTTGAAGGTATAGTTTGCAGCAAGTTAATTAATGCTTTCCCTCGACTCTGATCATGTTCATGGGAATCATCGCAGCGATAAGAATCCAATTTGGAAAGTTCTTCAAAGTTTCCAGCTATGGTCCAACTTTTCTTCCTTGGTTGGTTGTTGTTCCCCAAGACTCCCAACATGCATCCATCAAAATGGTGCACGGACATGAAACGTTCAATGAGAAACTTTCTAACCATAGGCCATCTCCAGTAATTGCAGCTCTTTGAAAGTTCAGAAGCTATCAAAGTTCGTTCATCGTAAACTTCATCCACAAGTTTGACAAAGGATTTGAAAAGTTTCGTAAACAGCTTCTGTTGTTCTTGGATTCGCTCATGACCCTCCACCGCCAGGCCGTTTACGTTTCCCCATGGGCTTCCCCCTACATATGGCAGTGATGAATACAGAATCAAAGTGCCGTTGTTAAAGTCATTTCTCCAATCCTTGACTTGGGAAGCTAATAGTCGTTGCCGACAGCCATCAGAAGTACCATCATCCCTTCGGTAACCCTGATGCAGTGGCAATCTTCACTGGACGTTCTTTGGCTACTGAGCTATGAGTCTTCTGAACAACAGAATTCGATCAACATTCTTGGCACATGTTCTTTTTCTGGGCCCCCCTGATTCCCGGCAGCAGAAGCTAACTTCGGCACCTTGGCAGTAGGCGGCTTCGCGTTGTCGCGAGCTGCTTCTTCCACCTTTGTCGGGCCGATGCCGATGAGGGCAATGGCATGTTGCCAACTTGCTGGTCGGGTAAAGGCAAAGGTTGAGAAGATCGAACTGTTTACATTCAAACTGTTGTTTCAACCATTTGAGGTTGATGTTTCGGGTTGTGTTCATATGTCTCATGGATGCTGATGAACCGGTGGACATTACCGTGATGGTAGCTTGATTGTCCTCCATGAACTTGATTTGATAAAATTCAAGGAAACTAGCCTATTGATGCCCGCAACACTACCACCCGTGTCAACATGCCCATTCCGGATGTCATCAATTTCGGGGTCGATCCTGGTGAACACAACATCGGAGCCAGGCTTCGCGGCATCACGAGCTGGTTTACCCTGCAGATTCTTAAACAGGTAAGTTGCTCAAAGAGGGCCAGCATAGGAATGCCTTCTGCTCTCATGCTGTGATTTGCGGCCACCACTTCGGCTTCGGTTGAAGAAATCGCTACAAACGTACGTTTCTTACTGAATGCGTTTAGGTGGTAATAGGTATTGGGTCCAACTAAGATTATTGCACTACCAGAGGTGCTCTTGTTGTCGTGTTCCCCGTCATGATCGGCGTCTGCAAAGAGCTACAACTGACACTGGTCGAATGCATCCCCAATGAACCCTTCTAAGAAGTGATGCTTTGTACAATTGATGTACGCCACAAGCTGATGCAGTGCGACATCACATTCAACAGACCATTTCGTCACCCTTGAAGCGAGACTTTGGGTTGCCCTAAGCAAATCGAACCTTGCCATTCTGGCAGCAAATAAAATCTTCATGAGGATTTTACTCGCTACTGGTTGAAGCTTTCCAGGCATTTCATCCTCACTAAGAGTGGGTCTTGCGATGCCTGCATCAGTGAATGGTGTTGGACTGACCTTTGCAAGATTGCAACAATTTTCAACACAGGACTCCAAGAAGTTGCTCATATCATACCTGACAAAATTCACGGGCTGGGCCATGACGCCAGCTTTTGGTTTCACGGCGTGTTGCAATCCCCTGAACTTGGCGGCTTTGGCTTCCTTCTTTGCCTCGCGTTTGTCGCGATGGGGTCCTGGTCTGGCTTTGCTTGTCATTGCGAACTGCTTGAACTTGTCTGGTCCGTCTTGTCCATAACAAAAACCGTCTTTCCTGTCCAAAACTCATCTGGTTGATTGTTTGAAGTTTTCTAATCATCAGTGTAAACTTGGTAACCCCCCTGATTGTTCGCGTCGGTGATGGTAGGACAACCTTTTAGTGTGAGCTTTTTGTCGAAGAAAGTAATACGACTTGAATTTTGACAGCTGCTCTCTCCCCCTCATCACCCGGCTGGTACTATCTTTTGCGAGGTTGCACATGATGTCTGATCCATGCCTTGTTGTCTTCATCATGCTCCCACCAGTCCTGAGTTCTATGTTGTGCTGCTGCTGACGTCTTGGCTTCAAAGGCAAACGCAAACGGATGAGCTTTGGGCAACCAGATACTCTCGAATTCCCGATGCATGCATCCCAAGTATTGGTCATATGGCTCCGGAGGATCGCCAATGTTGACTGCAGCTCGAATGCTTGCCCATGCCTTTTCCATGTTCTCAGTTGGCCCAGCCATTCTAAAATCGTCAGCATACACAACCAACAGGCAGTTGAGTTCTTGATGATGAAAAATTGAATGCCAAATGTCAGGTAAAATGTGTTTCCATCCTGGCTTAACCACATGGCCATTGAGATGTTGTTTCCAAATTCCCCCACTATCAGGATGACCATACAAAGCCAGCAACATAGGTACCATAGGTTGCCAATACTTCTTTTCCTAATCTTTGGGCCACCGATTTCAGGGAAGTGATAGCCATGTCGGCACCCTGTGAAGAGGGCTTGTATGTAGGCTTGGATGGTCTGCCTGTGCCTTGGAGAATCCCGGTTGGCTTCCAGGTGCGTCTGACGGCTTTGCTGCTCCCATAGATGCTGGAGAGGAGCCTAACTTGTTGAAGAGTGCATGATCCGAGTTCTCATCATGGACGCTATTTCCCTGAAACACTGTCCTGCCTTTGAACTTACGGCGGGGATCTGACTCTGGGAGTTCTGATCCTTTCTCGTAGCATGCTTCGAAGATCCGACCTAAGTGAACTGTTTTTGCCTTCACGACGAGCTTCAGCTACAATGTCGCGGCATTCACGGACACGCTTCTCATCCCAAACACCCTTGTTTCGGAGATTATCCCATTCTTTGTCAAAGGCGGCTTGTGCCTTGGGCTTGCTGGCAATTTCATCTTTTGATACTAGCCTAGCAATGGATGCGAAGAGCTCGAGTGCAACTTTGAACTCAAGTTCTTTGATCTTCTGTTTGACAAGCTCTCGGAGTTTCAGCCGGTGTTCTTCTACGGCAGGTGCCGCCACTTTTGGCATTGCAGGCTGGCGGGATGATTTCCCATGTGTCACCTACAAGTTTGGCTGTTGCTGTTGCTGGAGGGCTTTGAGTTGCCTCGAGCTGAGCTACAGAAGATTTCTTCTTCTTGCTCTTGATGCCTGATGGCGCTGACTTGCCCCCCCGACCCTCTGCAAGTGCCTTTGCGTCTTCTTCCTCAATGATCTTCTTGCGCTCATTTCATCCAAGCATTTGCCGCAACTTTGAATCGATGCCTTCCGGTCGTTTGGAACTTTTTTTTGTTGCAAACAATCCGGTGGCCATCCCAGTGAAAACCATCTGGAATGATTTCCCTTTGGGTGTCAACACAAGGTCTGGGAACACGGGTTCACTAGGCTGCTCTGGCTCGACATCGCTGTCGGCTGGTAGAGGCGTCCATCGTTCGTGTTTCAAATCCTCATGTGGCGGCTGCATGCTGGATTCAAGAGGCACGACAATGGGAGTCGGCAGAATCGCCTGGTCTTCAAGACGGTCTGCTTTGGGAGACTTCGGGTCAATCAGAGCTTTCAAAGGAAAGATGAAACCTCCAGATGGCAATTCCAACCTTTTCGTTCTTTGGATTGTGAATGCCCCCCAGTTGACATGATAATCAGCAGCTTCCAACTTGGCAACTAAATATTCGCCCTTCCAGTCATGACCTGGTTGGATGTGATACCCAAGGAACCATCCTTCATTCGCGGTTGGGGAAAGCTTGCCTGCTGTGTTATCGGCCCTTTTGGGGTTATTCCAAAACAACACGTTGGCACCAAACGGGATGTGCATTGCAGGGAACTCTTCACCACACTTGAGTTGCCATGGAGAGTCACTACCGTCCAACTGACGGTTCGCGTTGATCGCGGCTGCATGATGCTGCATGGCCAGGGGCCACCTTTTGAGTGGGAGGCCTGCTTGAAGCAGGTTGCTCCTTGCACCTTCCAACATCTGGAGAACCTCACCCGCTGCAAAACATCTCGAAGAATTAACATATTCAATTGAGGTCTGATGTCTGTAACCCAAGTCTTTAATGGCCCTAATCAACTTTGGCGAGTTGTCAGTGTACACAACTTGAACATCATTTTTTGACCCAATAAAGTGATTCAAACCATCCATACTGCTTTGTGCATTTTTCGATTGACTTGGATAGACATACCTGCACTGAGTGTGCAAATCTTTCAACACCAAAGCCACCTGCTCCCCTTTGAAACCCTCTTCCACATTTTTCTTAATAATGACATCATCGCCTATGATGTGGTCGCCGAACACTTCGCTTTCGATGCGTTTCTAACCACCTTTGCGATGAGCGTGTGGTGCCATCACCCTTGCACGCTGGCAAGTTCTGCACAAAGGATTCTTTAAGAAGTGCGTGAACTGGTGCTGAGCACTGGCAGCTTCGCTCAAGAGATCCTCCGCCTCTCTGCTCCGGAGATACTCGTGCTGGGCATCGTCTGAGACGAGCTCGTCGAACTGGTCTTCATCCACCGCTTCCTCACGCGCAGCTTTACAGCTCGACTGCGAGGTCGGCATTGCGAACAACTTCTTGAGGTGCTTATCCTTCGGTGCTTATCCTTCTGAAACTGTTCTTTTGTGAAGGCCTTGCAAGTGTCATCTGAAACTGGGATGTGACCTTCAACCTTGAGTTGGACACCTTTGTCATCAGGAAGAACAAGAATGGGTTTGCCATTTGCCGGCCACACGAAGCTATAGGCCTCGATCTAGACACCTGGTTCCAACGGACAACACAGCTGGGGTCTGATCCAACACGTATGGCTGCACAGGATCCGGGAGTGCGGACAACTTGACGTCTGCAACTTCATTGGCTTCAGTTGATCCATGTGCTGTGATCAACGAAATCGGATGCTCGGCAGCCCTGCAGTTCTGAGCATTAATGTCCCTCAGACTACCCTTGGAGACAAGATCGGATTCACTACCTGAGTCGATCGGCCTTTCGCGCAGCTGTGGCGATCGATGGAAACCGGCCAACTTCTCTGAGTGCTTTGGGGCCGCATCTGCATTCTTTGCACGTGATGTCACATGTGTCATCATTCCAACAGCAAAACCCGCAACTTGGTGCAACATCGGAGTCATGAAGCTTCACCGTCTCCTGGAGCTGACGTGCTCTCACCTGCGCTTCATGCAGTTCAACCTTGGACGAGACTGGAACGTCATCGGATGTTCTGTACACAGCTGAGAACTCTCTTGGACGATGTATGTCGGGGACTTGACGGCCAACTGCGTTCACTCCCAACACGCTTCATGCTGACACTGGACCCATCAGAGCTCGAGGTCACCCTCGGCTGTTTCTTTGCAATGCATGCAAACTTTGGGTTGGGGCCAATCAGGTTGGGGCCAATCAGACACCGTGCGGCATTTGACTCCTTCCCCTTCTTCTTTGGAGCCGGAGAGTTCGTCCTCTTGGTGTCCTTGGTGGTTGCTGCAGCTTTATCGTCTTGCTTATAAAAGCACTTGTCACCACGCCTGCATTTGCCTTTGGCATGATAAATGCATGGGGTCTTTGCCGTTTCTTCCTTTGACATTTTTTTTCCCCTTATCTTGTCGCTACCAACACCTGGCTCGGCTCCTGCGCTGCTTTTGAGCAACTCAACACTCCAGGTGACTTGATCTCAATGATCGGTTCTTTATCTATTGCTTGCGGATGCTTCGGGTGCTCTCGGGGTACTGATGTTGAATGTCGGCACACCAGTGCTGGTGGCTGGATCGGACGGATGCTTTCGTTACCACAGCTAATTGCGCTTTGGCAACATGATTCAGCTGCTCTTGCAAGTCATCTATCTGGTCCTGAGGGCTGAATTCTGTGCCGCTGCTTCGTTTAGTCTGTCTGACGTTTCCCGTTTGTAGTTTTCAAACTCTACGTTCAACTGAATGAAACGGGTTCGCTCTACAGCAGTCTGTTCATCACACTGTTTCTGTGCCGAAGCTATGGATTTTTTGCAGCATGTTCAACAGTCTGTGCATATGAGGCTTCAAATTCTTTGGTGATACGTTGCCGCCTTTCTACAATTTTGAGGTCGTGCTTGGCATTGGCCTCTGCTTTGAACTCCTCAACCTTGGCATCATGTGTAGCCTGAGCCTGATTCAGCCTGACCTCGAATTCATCACCTTGCTTTCGTTCCTCAGCTAGTGCAGCTAAGGCTTTTGTCTCTACTTCCTGCAACTGCTGTTCATACTCCTGTTCCTTTTGGGTGAGTTTGTTTGACCAATCATGTTTGATGGCATCAACAACTCCATGCATGATCTGCAGGTGCCTTTGTTCAACTTCCCTCATTACCTGTAGCCTCTGGTGATTTGTGCAATGTTGTTTTGTATGAGCATGAAGTAAGCTATCACTGGCTGGTATGTCGTTTCATCATCCATCGGCACAGGATCACTCCCGGCCGTGTCGGGCACAGCAACGGGTGGACCTGACCCTGGGATGGCGAGTGTGAGGTCGGCTGGGGTCCCCATGGCTTAGTGGTGAGACTACGGCTGATAACCTGTAGTTTACCAGGCCAACTCTTTTGAACCAACGCTACCGCAGAGTAGTCATGATATATGGAACACCGGGTTTTACTGCAGGAATTTTGCAGCTTTCAGTTTGCAGAACTACGCTGGACATGAAACACAAGAGAAAAGCTAATTGCGAGGAACTCAGCAAAGCATGATGTCTGCCATTTTCCGTGAGACGCTTTAGATAGACGCTTCGAAAATTGTCTAAATACAGGGGGTGACACCTGTTCTTTTTCACAGGTGGCACTGTTGATACTTGATAAAAACCCGAGGTACGAATTATCTGCAGGTATGGGTGTGCCTTCGATGTTTGCCATTGACTTCCTGGCCTTGCCCTGGTTTCCGTGGAGCATATCCAAGAACTCATTGACGTCTGCAACACAATCACCTAAAGTGTCATAGCTGTCCAAAAAAAAACTTCAATGGTCCTAGCCTCTTTGTCACATTTGGTTTTGTCAGTTCGTCCAGAGGTGAGCAGCTTGCAAAACTCTGTTCTTGTGACTGTGCCGTTTCCGTCCGAGTCGAAGATCCTGAAAGCTTGCCAAACAATATCCTGTCAATCCCATGCCACAACTCAGATACCCCCTAAGCGCCGTGAACCGTGAGTCCAGCCCCACAAGCTTCCAAAACACGACATTCTCCTACGGACCAGATTTACCCACGTGTAAATGCCAACTTTCCCATCATAGCAAACTGCAATCTGTTGGAAGGACAAGGTTCTCAAGCAAATGCCACGAAGGTATACCAAAGCAAAAATACCAAAACAAAACAACAAACATCTCAACGTATCAAGTTGTATGAACTCTCTTCCCTCGCATTCCTCTTTCAGGATTTTGCTCTTGTCCAAGGCTGCAGCCAAGAATTCAATGTACTCAATGGTGTCATTTCCATCGGTTCCAACTCCACAAACTCAGGCCTGCTGGCAGTTCCAGTCCAACCACAGCAAATGCTCCACGAAGTTCACTCTTTGTGACATGGCCATTGGAGTCCTGAAACATTCAAAGAATGCCGCAAATGCTGTGTGTCTTCGTCCGAAGCGTGCCAAGCCAGAGCCGTCGAAGCCGCTTTTTGCAACATATCCATGTCTTGAAACTGGATCATGGTATCAATCATACCCTTCATCACATCCGCAGGTGGCAAGGAGACATTCGACTTTAACGATAAGTGTCGCAAAGCATCGGCAATGGAGCAGCGATTCTCTGGCTTCTTTCGTAGCAATTCCGCAACGCTGGATTCCGCATCCTTGGTGATTTTCTTCCAATGGGGACTCTTGAGACTCACAAGTTCTTTCCTGATCTTCTGCAATAGTTCGTCCTGCCAGGTTTGGACATAAATGCAAGGGAAGAAACACTACGTCACTCAAGTCAGAGTTGCATAGATGCATCATTGAGTAATCAACTGGTGTCACTGATCAACACTGGGGATGGGTCAATGTTCCAAATTTCTACAGCACAAAGTCCGATCATATTTGAGGGTCAATACTATCCAATTCTTGGGGCGCCACAGGTTGACCAATATCAGGGTGGCGTTTGAAAATGTTACCCTAATTTTAGTTAATCACGATTTTCCCTATGTAATAAAAAAGGCATATCGGTACTTGCTAACGCCGTGTCCTGTGGCCTGTGCGTTTTGTGGGTTTGTAGATTTAAATAAGGGGTGGAGCTAAAAGCATTCGGCTCTCCGCCTTGATGCATTCGTTCCCAGCAGCAGAAAAATATATAACTTATTTGTTCGGGGGCGTGTCCGCATTCGTCAGGAAGTTTGAGTGAAAGGGTTGTTTTTGACATCTTTCCTTGACTTCAATATAACTTGTAACAGAATGACGCAGTTGTTTGCAATGGTTGGAACAAGTCGAAATGCACTCGAGATAAGTGCACTTGCCACTGGACACATCATGTAAGCACAATGTGCCCCTGCATTTTTGTGTTGTGGCTCTTTTCGCGTGGGTCCTGACCTTTCCCATCGCTGGTCAAGTGACCCAGGCCGTGAGGGAAGGAAACAGGTTGCATGTTGATTGTGTTGACCCCAATCGATGCAAGTGCATCTGAATCGCCTTGTCAAAGTGATATGACAACTGTGGCAGGTGAATCTCGACCGAGGCAAGGTGCGCAGTCGTGTCATCTGAGACGCGAGCGCATTCTCTTTATAGAGTTGTCATCAGTTCCAACCAAGTTTGTACCGTGAATTTTTGACCTTGAGTGTGGGTGTATTTGACCAACAGGACCTCCACGTGTGCACCGGTGCTGGGCTTATCCTTCGAGGTAGGAAAAGGGGAGAGGTGATTAAATTTTCATATTCCAAGTTAGCTGAATGATGAAATTGTGTTTTTCAGTCATCCTCCGTCCCTCTTTCTTTGAGACCTTGACTTGCAGATAGGTGCATCTTGACGCATAAGTTTTGGATCTCAGAGGAGTGGTGTTGTTGCACGGGCCTTAAGGGATGGTGCCTTGGGTAAGGCACACAGATCACCAAGAGGTTTGTGGCATGTGCCAGGAACATTCATATGAATACTGACTCTCTGTTGCATGTGCAACTAGTCAGTCACGCTGCAAGTGCAGCAGGTCATGAAAGCGAATTTTATCCAAGGTCGTAGATACCATCCCTCCTCGACCTGAAAGGGACGGCTTTCGTCTTGAAGAAAGGCGTGGAGCCGTGGGTTGGTCTATCTCCACTCCGGTTAGCGTCTATTAAGTCCTATCTTTTTCGTGGAAATGCTCTTTTGAAATGTGTATTCAGCCGTAGGAAGCTTCACAGCACATCGTGCCTCCTTATTGGCCACATGCCGGGAGCCTACCGAAAGGCACCACTCTCCAGCATTTTGCAAACATGACCGGATGAATTTGGCAAGGATGAATGGCAGAGGTCCGCCTGCAGATCTTCTAGGGGCACAATGGAACCTTTTAGGGAACGTAGATTCACTCTTCAAGATCACCTTTTGTGCCCCCATATGGAACATAAAGGCTTTTAAAGTCTGCCCGTTCTTTTCGCGCCCGGACTCAGGACCGTGAAATTTGGAGCATCAAGTGGCAGACTTATGGCCATGAGCGAACGGCGCACCCTGCCAATAGGTGAGGCCATAGGAACTTTGGCAGTCATGTTTGCTATGGTTTTGATCGAAGCTGGAGATGCAGTCAGACTTTTGTCAAAGTCAGAATCGTGTCTGCGTCAAATATTCTCAATGGTTGGAACTCCGAATATGATTGACGTTCTCGGTGATTTCTCTCACGAAAACCAAATCACAAAGGCTTGGTACAGAAGCGACCAATCGAAACACCCCCATGCTTTTAGGGAGGATGTGCCAAGACGTAGAACGCATCAATTTGATCGCAGGGTTAGGCGCACTCAAAACGGAAACGTCACCTCATTTCCGTGAGAACCTTGATGCCTTTTCGAATTTTGTAAATCATTTGGTAATTTCAGGCACAAAACCCGACGAGCTCCAGCTCTTCCGCTTCTTGATGGAAGTTCGTTTTGCAGTCGACACCATAATCGCAATCGTGTAGAGCCGCAAAGTCACACACTTTGGTATGAATTGTGAGTCCATGAAAATGGGCCATGTACTCCCGACTGCCAGATGAGTCTGGGCACGAAAAAAGGGGTGTTGCCAGTCCAAGTCATTCGTGATGCAATCAGATCCTGCCAGCTTGAATTCTCCATGAAATGTTAATGAAGCTTGAATTTCATCTCTCCAGTGTCATAGAAACAGAGCTCCCCTCGGAGGGCTCACGGTTGCCATTGCCTTTAGATATAGACAGAAATGGGGCTCACCTCACCTGAGACAGAGGAACGAATTCACTTGGAAGGTGGGACGCCCTGAATGAGCCCATTGAATCCAATCTTTTTGGGCGCGAAGACCTTAGCGTGATGAAACCAATTTTCAGGCGGGAAAGACGCTCTTGGGAGACGCCCGTTGTGATGTTGGGGGAATTACATGTGGCATTAGACGACCGGTTGAGCCTGGCTTGGGAAACTGGGGTGATGGCTTCCATTTTCGGGGATGAACCGCTGATTCCTCTTTCCATACACACGAACGTCACCCTGCACACTGGGCGGAGGTGGAGGCGACCCACCCTAAAAACGCGCAATATTCCCGTGCCCTTTGGATTAAGGGCCGCCATAGGCCATAGGCATTTGAATTTCGCCCTCTTCGCCAATTTCATGCTCATTTACTTTACCTCTTCGCTTGGCATCTGCATTGCGGCATTTGATTCCACAGCATTTTGGCAGTCATGACGGGCACCTCCGATGACATCATCGATCTCACGGACCAGCCTGGGCCTTCCAGCCATCACAGCAACCAGCCAGGCGGCTCCACCGCCGACCCAGTCATATGCACAATTTCCCTATCAGATCACCCATGTAAGCTGCACAGCAAACCTGCGGGCCCACCAAGCCAACCCGCTATGCCATGCCCTTCTTGTCGAAGCCCTTGGCCCACAGACATGGACACAGTCCTTTCCGCGCTTTGCGACAATCACGGCATTGTCGTCCCAGATCCGCCGCTGCCAGCCAGACACACCAGCGAGCCAAGCAACCACATTCCAGCCGCACCCCATGACATCCTGCCACTGTGTTGCCATAGGGTCCTCCTAATTGACCCAACCCGGCCACATGAGGAAAGGGCTTGGCACGAGTTGCCAGACCGGCACATGGAATGGGCGCCCAACCACAACCCTCACACAGAGCATTGACAGCCAGAATGGGTATGCCTATGATGCAAAACCAAGGTCCAACTTGACCATGCCCTTCTTCGGAATCTCCCGCCCCCTCCCACCTGATCCACCTGGCCCCAACATGGGCGACGGACTTGGCAACGTGGCGGGCGGGGATGGCTATGCACCCAAGGCCATCAAGTGGGTGCCTTCCACGATTGTGCCGCCGAACAGTTTCCACCTTTTGCCCCTGGCATCGCAACCAAGCAAGCCTCAGCCAAAAGCCAATCCTTCCAACAAGCGCAAGTCCGAAGAAGTTGCGAAGCCGCCCGCAAGCGATGGTCCGGGCCACTTGACAAGAAAGGGCAAGGGCAAAGGAAAATCCAAGTCCAAGAAAAACGGGCGTGGGCCAAATGTCCCCCGTGACTTGGTGGGGAAAGTTTTGGAAAAATCAGGTGGAACACGCATTTGCTAGCCTTACAACCTTCCGTCAGGATGCAATGATGCCAGCCATGGTGGGCAATGCAAACGTGGTGTCCACGTGTGCGCCGAACCAGGGTGCCAGAAAGCGCACAGCCTTCAGAATCATTCTTGACTCCCATCACAAGCCGAAACTTCCAGTGCATTCGGATCTTTTCACGAAAAGTTGTCAGCCAAGCGCGCTGGAAAGTCAGCGCTTCACCTTTTTGTAGTAGAATTTTCGAAGGCACTGGTCGCTTGACGGCATCCATCAAGCATCTTGGACTTCGCGATTCTTTGGGCATTGATCACAAGATTTCCGACCATTTGGCCGCTCCAGGTTTACAACTTTATTTTCTTAAACAAGAAACTCTAGAATTCATCGAGCAAATTATCCAGGAGCAAACCTGCGTATATGTTCACTTCGCCCCACCTTGTGGCACTACTGCAAGCCGCGCCAGGTTCATCCGCAGAAAAGGGAGGTATAACCTCCCAGTGCTGCGCACAGATTCGCACCCCAACGGGCCACCCAATTTGAGATCCGTCAATGCTGCCAAAGTTGCTGCAGCCAAGCGGCTGTATGATATCGCGCAACGCCTCTTGGAGAATGTGACAAAAACAGGGCGTCTTGTACACCATCGAAAACCCAGCACGTAGTTTTCTTTCGCAAACCTTTTTCCACCAGTGTATGCACGGCTCTTCTCGCAGAAAACATACAGGTTTGGTCCATAACATCAAAGGGGTCTGCGATATGAATTTTCTTTGTGATCATTCCTACCGACCCCCAGGAACCGTGGGGTTGTAATGAGTCGGGTCGGCCACTGCACAAGAAACGGCCTATCCTTGGCCGTCGAGCCGCAAACTTGCAGCTTTGGCCGCCCTTCATCTACAGGAATTCGGGGCGCAATGCCCACTGCCAGCAGCCGCCCAGCAGACAGCCCAACTGGATAGCATCCGCTAGAGAACTCATGTCCAGTGTTCCGTCACAGGTTTGCCATGGGTCAGTGGATTTGTTCGTGCGATACAGATTCCCAGTGATCAACCTCTTCCCCTCATGGCACAACTCATAGGCACTCCTCACTTGGGGGACATCGCGAGTGCAGGGCTGAAAACAATTGGGATTCAGAGCGCAGCAGCCGACGAACTCCTTGAACCCAGGCAAGATGCAGTGAATGTCGAGTTTGTCAATGAAGCACTCATTGCAAAACATCCGGGCGCAGCAACAAACGAACTCCCTGAACCCATGCAAGATGCAGTGAAATTCTGTTTGTCGCACCCGGTGACATACGTAGCACAGCCCAGGTCACAGGTCTTAAGATACATGATTGCGAAAGCAAAACAAAGGAAGCACCAAGAGGTGCCTTTGAAGAATGGTATGTCTCAAAGGAGACGGCAAATACCCCAGCGGAAAAACATGCATCTTTTTAAGGAACTCACAGGCGCAGGCCGCGCCCGGCTAGTAGTGCTCGGGATTGATATTGGGGGACGTTGGGGCGAAGAAACGGTGACCTTCATCCGGCTTCTGGCAAACCACAAAGCGTCATCAACCCCACCGTCTCTACGTCAATCGGCTGCTCTGGCTTGGACTTCCCGCTGGACAGCTCTCCTCGCCACCGCTGCCATGCGGTCTTTCGCGTGCAGTCTCCTCATGCTGCCCGCCTCGGCCTCGACCAACGTGGATGGTCCTCGCGCCGCCTCGGTGACGTTTTGACTTTACACGCTGAGGGTGGGGCCTACCCTTCCAGACTCCCCAGCACCCCCCAGTGACCCCCAGCCTTCGCCCTCGCTGGAGACTGCCCAGCCCTAAAAACAGTCAGCACATCTGGAGACTGGCCAGTATAAAAACAGTCCA